GTAGAGACGAACGAGAGGAGGGGGGGGGGGGGTAGCTCTTTACTACGATCAACCTGATCCTGATGGAGACAGAATCTAAAGAGAACATAGCCTTTGTGACACAAGACAGACGCTACCAATCCAAGAGAATGCCATTTGGGTTAGTAAACTCAGCAGTGACATTCAACAACAGTATGAGGAAGATGTTGTACAAAACCACCAAAATTTAACATTTTGACCCACACAGCCAGATGGGAAGACCACCCGAAAAAACTCGGAGAGTTGTTCGGGTGAGTGAGGGCAGCAGGTCTGACCATCAGACGATTTAAGTGCTACATTGGTTATTCTGTGCTGGACTTTGTTGGATACAAGATGGGCAACCAACAGATAGCCATGGAAGAGGAGAAACTAACCCGCATACAAGATGAACCAGCTCCAATGACCATGCAGCAAGGCAGATCCATCCTGGGGTTGCGGTATACTATAGGAAGTTCATCATAAACTACACTGAAGTCATTGCACCATTGACTGACCTGACCAAGAAAGACCAACCCAACAAGGTGAAGTGGGAACAACCACAGCAGATGGCATTCCAGAAGATGAAGAACATGTTTGCCAATCCTTAGAATTCCAGACTTCAACAAATTGTCCATTATTGAGGCCAATGCATAAGATGTTGGAATTGGAGCAGTACTTCTGCAAGAACATGTAGATGGACTGTTTCCCATAATGTATGTCAGTAAAAAGTTGTTGAATATTGAGAACTACTACTCTGTGATTGAACGAGAGTATCTAGCTATAATATTTGCCCTCTGGAAATTCCAAAACTACTTCTACAGGAAGGAACCCATCATCTAGATGGATCATCAGCCCCTTGATTACATCCAGAGGTGCAAAATTGATAATGCAAGGATCATGAGGTGGGCATTGTACCTCCAGAACTACTGGTTCTGCATTGAGGCCAAGAAGGGGACTGCAAATGTTGGTGCGGAATGTATGAGTAGGCTTTCTGCATGAACTGAAAAGCTTTGTATATAGTATAAAAAATATTGTAAATATTTTTCTTGAAGTGAGACTTATTGTTAGATATAATGAGTTTCAATTTAAGATGAATTTGAATATTATGATTTAGATAGTTTATATAGCACAAGTGTTAAATTTAATTATTTTTAGAAGTGATAGTTTATTGCAAGTTTGTTTACATAACTTTACAAATCATACATTGTGTAGTTCACTAGTTATATACTGGTGATTGTTATATTATTGCATCATAATATCTAGTAGTGTGTGGAATGTTTTAGACCTCTGATGAGGTATAAATATATGTCAAAAATTTAGTTAGATAGATGGATCTTGACTGTGTGATTGTGAGTTTGGCCTTAAAGAGTGGATAGTGGGAATTTTTAAAGTGAACTCACAGGTTGTATTGTAATTAAGGAGTTGAGAAAAATAACTTATGAATTGTGTTCTAAAGTAATTTAACCAACCTGTGTGAAATTATCACAGACTATGTCGTAATAACAGAGCAGGAAGAATAATTCATCTTGTCAAATTGTGTTCTAAAGTAACTGAACTAGCCTTGAAAAAAAAAAGAATTATTTATTATTTAAAGCTGTGGATACAACTGTGATAACCAACAATGTAATTAACATTTGTATATATGCTTGACTTATTTTAAAGCAAAGGACTGTGTACTGTTGGTTTATTGTTGAAATTTATTGCCAACAGGTCACAGACACCTATTATAAAGAATACATCCCATGCATAAAACCTTACAATGTACAGTGTCATATTTTTAGTCTTTACAAAATGTGTTCAAGAAGAATGAAGATTTTAATTTGCTTTTGCTGGAAAGTACCTTGCTATAAAATTCTTGAAGTTATTATTACTTGCAAGTGCCTGAAGGTAAAACACTTTCTATAAAAAATGTAAAGTCTATATTAAATGTAAAGTCATTTTATACTCTTCATAAAAACAAGGATCATATTAAATTTTATGGTTCTTATACATGAGAATTTTGTTGTGTTAGAATGATGTAAAACATTGACGTCCATTAATATTTTAATATGTACCAAAATCACACAATAGTCTAACATATATCTGTAGCCACACATGAGGAAGTTTTAGGTTATTTAAAAAGTATCTTGTAGGGACTTACCTTCCATCAGAACATTAAGAGCATCTTTCATAATTGCAAATGTTGTTATCAAAACCAAGACAGAGAACAGAAATGTGCAAATGGGATCAACAATTACATATTCAGGCTGTAATGAGTAAAAAGGTATTAAAATACATTTTAGATTCTCAATTCATTTATCCATTATCAAAAACTCATTTCATTACAACACTAAGTTCAAGTATATGAATAAAATAATTGGCTATCCATAAAGTATGAAAACATATTTTTGGATTGTCTATATATGGTATATGTGATCAAATTTTATCTGAATATTTTTTTTTCACACTTTAATTTCAAAAATACATGAATCATCTTGGATATTATATAGGTGATATTGATATATGCCATTAAAACTAATGAAATCATCTTGTTACAAGGTGACAATTCTGTTCAATAAATAATTCTATGAGAAGATACTGGAAGTGAAGAATAATTAAGAATCTCAGTTTAAAAAATAATTACAATACATAACATCATGTCAACTAATTATGAACATGTCATATCTGAAAATACTTGAAAAATTAATAATTTTCATATATTCAGTGTTTGTTTAAATTTGTTGAGACAAATAGCTTTTGCTTTGCTCTGTAGCCAGCACATATAATGCATTTTTAAGCTGAGCATGCGTCTTCTCTGCAAATCTACCAAAAAAATACAAAATCAATACCTTCTACCATATGTAAAAGAATAGAACACTACAGTATAAAAAATAATGGAATATTGGCAAGCTACTCATACTGAAACTATCCTAAAATGGAAATTACTGGATGTAGTAGCAAACTTGTACAAAAGAATAAGGTATTATAGATTTTTACAAAGTTTGACTAAAAACATATATGTATTAAACTAAATGGATCTACAAGATGATATTAAGTATTCAATTAAAAAAGAAATTAAGAAAGGATTTGTGTCATGTAGCAGGTGTGGTTTGTTTAAATATAGACACACTGGTTGAAGATAACAAGTAAAAAAGCTACAAATGCATGTATTTCAAAAATCCCTAAAATGACTGGAAGAAATCCAAATTTAGCTAAGCTAAAAAGTTTTAATATACTTAAGTTTTTGATCTGATGTGTAATTTTTTTATTGATTTCAATAACCTTTGGAATTATTTTAAATAATGTCTTGCTGTAATGTCTGCAATTAATTTCATGTCACATCAAATAAAAGTTACAGCTTGTTTTTCAATAAATAGTACACAGTTATCTTTGGACCTGTTAGTTTGTCCAGTAGTCATGAAAGTTCAAAATTTTCAGGATTAATATATATATACATAATATTGATAATAGTTTTGTTTCCTTTAAACTTCCTATTTTTATATGAAATCTCAGAACACATACTAAGTTAAAAGTATGTATGATATTTTCTAAATACTTGTACTCAACCACACAGTTGAGGTTATGAAAAAAGTAATTAAATTTATTTCTTTTACACTAATTGATTACATCTTTATCAAATACAAGAAATTTTATAAACATTAAGATACACCATTTTCCCTTTGTAAACGTTCTTTGTACACCCTTCACGTTCACTCTAATTCTAAGTGTTTTATGTTCTGTAGTCCCAGTGATTTATATTTTGAATGTTAAGTTTCAGTTTTGTGGTTGTAACACACAACATATCAAGTTCATATTTTGGTTGACTGTGTTTCTCGAAGTATAAACCTGAAGAAGACAGACCAATGTTCCATTGAAACATGTATGTTTTTCCATTAATAAAATTCTTTCTTATGATTATAAATCATTGTTTGCCTACCTATTATAAACAGAAAACAAACTGAGTTAACTCCTCACATATTATCCTTCTTCCCTTTGGATAACTCACCTTGAAGTAGATGATAAGTGCTGCCACAAGTACCCCTACACTTTGGAAGAAATCTCCTAATACATGAATAAAAGCAGCTCGAACATTAATGTTTCCTTTCCCCTTGCTATAGGTATGCCCTCGACTTTGAGGTTCTTCACTCCCATGGGAGTGAGAATGAGGAACACCCCCAGCTTGTAAAGATATTCCCATACTGAAAGAGAAGTTTATACAAGCTTATTCAGTCTGTCTCTCTCTGCTTATGTACATTTGTTTTAATCTACACAGTACATGGATATTGTAAGTATTGATATTGTTACAACAGTGGGGGGTCACATGACAAGTATTCTAGAAGATTCGCTAGCGTGTTGCGACAGCGTTGCATCAACTGACGCTGGTAACACGTGTTGGGAATCTTAGAAGTTTCTAGAACAGGCAGTATTATCGTATATAAGTGCGCTAGACAGTGAGAGAGACAGAGGGAGTCAAAGCAGTAGTGGAGGCAGAGAGAAAGAAAGACAGCAGACACAGAGATCGGAACTATAGTTTGCAGGGACGGACAATTAAGTCTAAGCGCGATAGAAAGTGAGTGAATTGTTGTGAACCATAGTGTGTGTAACTGTGAAAATTAAGTACATTACAAAGTTGTATTGAGGAAGA